GAAAAAAACCCTCTCCAATATTTTGAATTTGGACTGCAATACCTAGTTCAACCACTCGGTGTCAATCCTACATACAGCACCTTTAAGATGCGTTTTTTTCTTTCTACATGTTATCTTAAGGGGTTTTCCCATTATTTTAATTTTAGTTTTAGTATAACATTATAGCAACCACTCAAAACACCCTAGCAATCACTTAGCAACCACTTAGAACACCCTAGCAACCACTCAGGACACCTTAGCAACCACTTTATCCAGAAAGAGAATATTTGGTGGGCTCTTTTGACTTGGACCACCTAGCAACCATTCAGAATACCTTAGTAATACCTTAGTACCAACACCCTGGCAACCACATATAACACCTTAGCATTGTGACTGCAGGTTTTACACCACTTGCATTTTCTCAAAACATAAAAATCTACTTTGTAATCTACTTTGTCTAATCTGATTTTGGCCCATTTTTACACTAGCAGTTGTTACAAATCAAACAAAAATGAACAATATTGCACTGAAAACTGCATTTCACCAAAAAAAAAAAAGAGCTAGGCTAAGCTAATAGAAAAGATCCATTCCAATCACGTCCTCCTGTTTGTAGCTCTATTCTATTAAGTTCTGCCCTTTCCAGCGATTCCTGTGGGTCAATAATGGGGTTAACTGATGTTCAGGGACAGTTTTGCGTTAAGAGAGACACTCCATAACACTTTCAAACAGTTTCGTAAGAACTACCAGAGGATTTGGGATAGACAGGAGGATATGAGCTTAGACAATTACCAAGAAACAGAACAGGATTCTGTGGTTTAAAAATCACAACATTATGGGTAAGTTTCTTCTTAAAGTGGCTCTGAGACCATATGTTCCTCACTCATGCCATCAGCCCAATACTGTCACCATGGTTTGTGGGTAATTGTTGTGATGGATTGCGAGCATTTCTTGAGATCAACCGCATCCAAAGCAATCCCAGAAAGCATCTCTTAAGCAAAGCACAAAGAGAAACGTCTGCTCTTCTCATCAACCACAATAAGGAGCTGAAAAAAAAATCCATAGAGGGAGAAACATCTACTGAATAATTGCTGTGTTGAGTGGAGGATGATGGGACAGCCATCAGCCGTTACATAAGCTAGATACGCTTGTAGGACAAATCTATCAGTCTCACTGAACTGTAATTATATCATCAGTTACAAAACACAAGATTTGGGTCAGAATTACGAGCGAAACTAAACTTTTTTCCCCCCCATAAAAAACATCAGGAAATGTCAGAGTGCAGATGAATTATTTATAGCCTCCATCTTGAAAGTCACATAAAAATGTTTACAGACTTTTAGAAGCCATGTTTGATGGGGTTTAGAGTAAAAGGCTCACCTGTAACAGTGTCTAAATCAGGATGAAGACAATCCCAGAGCGCCATATGGAAGAAAACAGAAAAAAATAATATATTGTTATACTGGGCCAAAAACATGCTTAACTTCACTTCCAGAATAGAGTGCTTTGAATTTGCAAGGTTGTTTTTAACTATGCTTAGCTCAAACTCAGTCTTTACAATTAATTACCTAGACTGAAAAATTAATTACCCAAAAATATTTTTACACTTCACAAAATAACATAAAAGATCAAAGTAAGTGATTGCAAATCATCTGTCAAGGGAACTAAAATTAGTCTGTTTTGCAGAGCTATTTTCTTTAAGCAAATCTCAAATTAACATTTTTGTTAATTGAAGTAAATCTGAAATAAATTAAAATATAAAATTAGGTGAAAAACTTAAATTAAGCGAAAATCACCTGAAATAAGTTTAAGTAGAAGCACTAAAAACTAGTGCTTATTTTTATTTTATTGGAAATAAAATAAAAACTAAAATGGAACTGAAATAAAATAAATGAAATCTGAATAGTAATATTTAAAATAATGATAATAATAATAAAAAATTACAAAAGTAGATAACAAAATTACCAAAAATATAACTAGAATTAAAATAAAAACTGAAAGTATAAAAATAAAAGCTGATTCAAAATATTAATAAAAACTATAACAGTATATACAGTAAATATGACTAAAATAACACTGCTGTCTATAATAATAATTAATAATAATAATGCTACATTACAACAGATACAGAATACAAAACATCTGTTTAGCAGCTAAGCCTGAGTTTAGGTATCTGTGGGACTCATGATGCAGGAGCAAATATAATGTAGATATCTGTCTATAAATGTTTTATTTTTACAGAAAGGTGATGAACTAGATGTCAGAAGCTGAACTTCAGCGAGCTCTATTTTTTGTTCGCCCAAAATATATCCACTTCCTCACTGCTCAACATTGGACAGAAGCTCTTTTCTACTCCTGCCAGAAGAACAGGAGTACAAACACTGAAGGAAATTGAAAAGGTATCTATAGATAACTCTGGGCTAAAGTCCACATTCTGTCTTTCTTTTTAATGTTTCGAAAATGGACAGAAAACATGATGAAGATAGGAATACGAAGCAGGCCAGACTCAACTTGCACTGCAGCATGAGCACCACAGCTTTTATCTTTATTTTTCTTCTAATTTAACCTAGTTTTGCAATCAAACAACGCTGTGCTACGAAAAGGAATTAAAGTTAGTCTTTAGTAACTGGACTAGTCCATTTAAAGCATGAATAATCCTCAATCAACTCCAGTGTGAAGAATGCTGAACACTAACTTTCTAAACTAGAGGTTTACCATCTTTAACAGCCTAATTCTGGCATTAGACGCGAGTCAAATTTTAGAGTATTTTAGTAACAGTCAAACAAGTGGATTTCAGAGTATGTCGTGTTTATACAGTATGTGTTTGTGTGTCTATTCTTACCCGCTGCTGAATCGTGGCATGTTTATGCTCCATTTCTCTCTTCTCCATTGCTGAATCAATCACCAGTTGATCCAGCTATGACAAGATGAACAATCAGTCATTGTAAGTTTGTTGTCATCTCTTGTATTAGGAAAACATGATCGTGTTTATTATCCACAGGCACTGGTTGTCTATCCGTCCATTATAGCACTGCACTTTCAGATGTGATGGTAAGTTTAATACTGAAGTCAGTGATGTAATGTGGCTGATCGATGAACTAATTAGACAGAAATCAGATCTGGTCTGAGGTGAATGTGTTTCAGGGCTTAAACACAGCATAATTATGGCCAGTAAAAAAAAGATTTGTGCATTTTGAATACTACAGTATTTTACTTTACTTTATGCATTTAGCAGACGCTTTTATCCAAAGCAACTTACAGTGCACGAGTTTACAAACCCGAGGGAACGGATTGCGAAAGCGTGCGCACGGATTATGAATTTGTGGGTACGGATTCAAAAACCGAAGATACGGTTTACAAAATCTGAGCGCACGGATTGGAAATTTGTGGGTACGGTTTATTAATCCGTGGGCACGATTTGTTAAACCGAGGGAACAGTTTAAGAATACGTGAGTACGGTTTATAAACTGAGGAGACGAATTGCAAAACCGTCGCCACGGATTGTTTTGTTTTTTTTCCTGCAGGTGACTTCCCGGGCTCCGTACTGAATTAACATGAATGACAGACAGCAGGAATATTAGACTGCTGTCACTTCAAGAGCTGCCCGGATCCAATATACTGGTAAGCCGGGCGTACACGGTGCGAGTTCGGACACTCGGAAGGTCGTGAGCCATTGCACATGTTACGAATCAGTTAACCTGATAATCGCGTCGAAGCAGTTGGTACACGGCACGACTGTACTGCACTGCGAGCCAGCGGCAGCTTTGCGTGAGCTTTCACTGAGATATGGAGCTTTTCAATCTTGCTGCTATATATAGCTTTGGATAGAAAAAGAAAGAAAATTAAAAGATGAGTGTGCAAATTATTTGGTGAAATGCAGAGACAGGTCCTGTCCTACAGGGGTGTTCAAACGAAAGCAAGAGCACCCTCAGCTGAAGCTGTAATAATAATATTACAGATATGGCAAACAATCCAGTGCCTGTTTGTGTCTGCGCTCTGGAGAGTCAAAAGTTTCTCTTTACAAAGTGTTTTTGAAGCGGTGAGCAATAGCCAATTACTGACATATCTGTTGATTTCTTGAACGCCAGTCAGAGGCGTTTATGTTAGAATCCACTCACTTCTCACAAAGCCGGAGTTCTGTCCAGTGCTGAATTCTGTATGCTTGCGAATCATATTACAAAGTGTAGATGCGATGTAAAAAATAACGTGTAACATAACTTTGTGAGATCGCGAAGAACTAAGATGAGTGACAGCTTTTTAGTGATTAAAAAGGGAGCCCTCTTTGCACCGTAGCAATGAATGGCACAACATATATGTGAAAATAGATGTGCATTAAAGCTAGAGCACCCTCACTCATTTCAGAAGCGCCTTCAGTGGAGAACATTCAGCAGAGAACAGCATAGCCATTCTTTTCAACAAACACAACTGGAGATTTGTGCGTGTGTATTGGTGTATCCACACAATATGGGGTCGCATAGTAGCCACAGAGCTATAATAATATACATAGATCTAGTGTATGTGATGTGGATGTATATGATTTGGTAATATGGGAGGAGCCTATACACTGGTCAAATACACTGTTTAAAAATGATCGGGAGCTCGGGAGGCTCGTAAATTCCTCTCACACGATGCAAGCCTCGACCATACGAGCATCAACGACTTCCACGTGATTTCTCCCGATGGGAAAATAAATAAATAAATAAATCGCATACGAGCTTGTATGACAGCAAAAATCGCACAGTGTACACCTGGCCTTACACAAGTTTTTTCTTACTAACCTATTGTGTTTACGAGGATACTTGCAAAGACAGGCATTCTGACACATACAAGTGTGTGCATTTAACTGTTCAAAGCCTATAAAGCGGCAAAAAAATAAAAAATAAAAAAATAAATAAATTCTCTCTCTCTCTCTCTCTCTTTGCGCATGTGCGAGTGAGTGGGAGGAGCGTTGAGTGCGGAGTGTGTGAGCAGGAGTGTGAGGTGCGAGTGTTTATTCTTTCTTTCCTTCTTTTTTTCTTTATATATATATTTTTTTGTTTGTTTGTTTTTGTAATTAGTGGTTTTTAAACTGGGAGCATGGCGTTTCCAGGAAGGAGAGCTTTAGCCACTTAACTAGACAGCATGCGGTCAAAATTGATTCAGTGTTTGGAGTGGAGGAATGTAGTTTGGCTGTAGGTACGTTAATTGGTTGTGAGAATATTTTGTCAGCCTCAAGGATGAATAGTGCCGTTGTTATATTTGTTAAGACGATTGAATTGGCGAATCAACTGGTGGAAACACATTATATCTGCACTGTTGTTTACTTCACTGGTTTGCACTCTATCTGCCATGTGCCGTGTGCTGCTTTATATATATATATATATATATATAATTTTTTTTTTTTTACATAATTCATGAATTTGCATCTGTTTTTCTAACTGAATCAATGGCCAATCTGGCTGCCAGTGCTCTGACGGAAATCAATAGCGTATGTGGAGAACACTGCTCACCTCAGCAGCCAGTTTTTTCATGTAGGGGTCAATCTCATCCAGGAGGTTGTAGCCCTGCTGATACAGGGAGTACTGCGCATGCATGAAGGATAACATCTGCAGACGACAGGACAGATACCGATGCTGCAGGATCCACAATCAACACATTTACATACACCAGAATAAAATACATTACCGATACTTACTGCATCTAAGATCTCAAATTTCTTTTTGGCTTGAAGGACATTGATCTGTATGGGAGAAAACAGATTTATATAAAACACTCTTATATGTTTACATACACTGTGTATATGTGGCGTGTGTTCAGTCTGGAGATGGAGTAATGAGCAGATGAGTGTTTATACAGTACGTTACCTGCAGCACATAGTCCAGTGCGAGATGCCGGAAGCACTTGCGGGTGAAGTTGAGGGTGCTGGTGGCTTCCTCCACCTCATGGGGTTTATTTCGAGGTGCCTGGGCGTTCTTCACCTGTGCGATCTCCAAATCTTCCCTCACCTTATCAAAGTGCTTCTTCGTGTTCTTGAATTTACGCACATCACTGAAAGTACAGATGGACATTCATTATATGAGTAGTCTAATGAATACAAAGCTGCCGATATGGAGCCTTCAATGAAGGTTTCGGGGATCTCATGGAGGTTTTCTGCGAGAAATTTCATTTTTGTCAAGCTATTCCTTATTCCAGCAGTTTCAGGGTGCACAGGAGAGGCAGTTGTGCTCCTTTTAACAAAATATCCCTAAAATATTAATATTGTCTGATATACTTTCACATGACAGATCAGGTTGATCTAATAAAAGCTTCATATCGCAGCGGTCTTCCTGAAATGCCATTAGTTTTACCATATAAATCTTCCGCCCATTGCATTATCAGTGATCACCTGTGATAAATGAATAGGAACCTGCTCTCAAGAATCCCATTATCCTCCACCAGGACACATCAATTATTAATGAACTCCAAAAGTCAGATCATTATTTATAATCAGCCTGCGGGAAGCACAATAATGAAAAAACCTCCTCAGAGAGAGTGCGCTTCTGAACTCTTTCACATTTGCAGAAGTATAAATAAAAACAGGCCACTGCAGGGCGACACTTCCACATCTCTGACCTTTTGGAGTGATATCAGCGAGTTTAATTTTCATATTTTAATGCATGTAATTTTAATGGAGAGGTGAGCAGGTATTACAAATATGATTTCAATAAACTGCAGCATTTTTAAACATGCTAATAAAACTTTTATTTTAGTAAGAAGTTTAAATGTATAATATTAATGTAAAAATGTATAATATTACAATAAATACACACACACAAAAGTTGTACTGTAAATAAAATAAATTATTATCACCATCACCATAGAGTGCGCTTCTGAACTCTTTCACATTTGCAGAAGTATAAATAAAAACAGGCCACTGCAGGGCGACACTTCCACATCTCTGACCTTTTGGAGTGATATCAGCGAGTTTAATTTTCATATTTTAATGCATGTAATTTTAATGGAGAGGTGAGCAGGTATTACAAATATGATTTCAATAAACTGCAGCATTTTTAAACATGCTAATAAAACTTTTATTTTAGTAAGAAGTTTAAATGTATAATATTAATGTAAAAATGTATAATATTACAATAAATACACACACACACAAAAGTTGTACTGTAAATAAAATAAATTATTATTATCACCATCACCATCGTTATATTGTTTAAATACTTCTAAATTTTTTAAAGTAAATTATTGCAATAGTTATTATTTGTAGTCATGATGATATATATGATCACAACTCTATATCATATATAAGCAAACCTGAATATTAAAAGAAATCACATTTTAAATCACAATCAGAATTTTTATCAGAAAAAAATGCAATAGGATTTCCCCCCATATCAGCAGTGATAAAATTTTGTTATATTTTTCAACACAAGGTTTTTAAACTCACTCTTTAACAAAGTTGTGCAACTGCTGCTTCACTGATCTCTGAGCTTGATCAAACAGGATCTGAAAAACATAAAATAAAAATAAACACGAATAAAAATACCACTCTGGTTTCAACCAATGACATCTGAGTATCCGGTTTAATAAATGAGTATGTGCAACAACAGACAAGCCTATTTCTGAAGGTGGCAATAGCTCAAGATGAAGCTTAACAATATTTATTAGGAAATTTTCACCAGTCAACATCCTATATTAATCCGGGAATAGCATTCTTATCAAAAAATGACTGTACTATGATTCAAGAGGTAAAGTTTGGACTATTTTAGAACAAAACCCCACAAATAAATCATGAAGCAATGACTGATTACCCTGAGAAAAAAAGGAAATGGGAATGTTGCATGTAATGCTCCACTATCAACACTAGATGGTCCTCTGCATTGGTTTAATCTGAGCTGTAGAGGATGTAAACCTGTATGGCCTCCCAACACACACACACATCATCATCCTCACACCCCTCCACCTCATTGAGATTCAGCCCGAGTCTCAGTCTGCACAAGGACACCGAGCTGATCTCGTATGCCATGCTGCAGCGGCGGAGGAAAAATAGGTCACTAGGGCAGGGAGGGAGCGACATGAAAGAGGAGAAAGAGAGGAGATGGAGCAAAGGAAACAACTGAGAAACAAAAGGGAGGTGATGAAAGATACTTTGCTTCAGTCTAGAGATGCACCGATTGCAATTTTCTTGGCCGATTCCGATTTTTTTTTTTTTTTAATTTTGCCAATTCTGATCCCGAACTATAATTGACAGTAGGGCTGCAAAATTCATCGAATTTCTAACAGTGTAAATTGTGATAGTCGTAATTAATAATTGCAATTACAATTTCAAGGGAATAATCGACAATTATGATTCGTGCAGCCCTAATTGACAGCATTATACACAAACAAAAATCTACTTTTTTTTCCAATGCAAAAAATGATTTACATAATCAAATAAATTATTAAACATTACAATTCCCCTAACCTGTACTGTTACAGATGTTCTCTCACTTAAACAACTCTAAAAATAAAGTGCTCTGGGACTAGAAAGAGGTAGAAATGAGTTGTTGTATGTAACAAAACAGATGCCACTTCCCACTATGTTTATACATTTTTTTTCCTCTAACCTTATTAAATGTGTCATATTTCACATCAAATTCCAAGTAACACCAAGTAAAATTCTCTCTCACTTGCCCCTTTAAAAAATCGACTTGTCCCAGACAAGCATTAATCGAGACCTGTGGTTCCCCGCGGTTTACTTTGGCCTTACACATATTACAAATTGTGAACTTTGAGTCATTTTCACTCACAGTGAAGAACTTCCACGCTGACGACATGCTTACATGCGGATGTGAGCGTAGATGTGATGGAAAAACAGACTGGCTCGGAATCGGTCCGTGCCGATCTTGCGGAAAATCGTCTAATTCTGGTCTCTGGCCGGTCGATCGGTGCATCTCTACTTCAGTCACATCCACATCAGCCGATATCAAGACTAATGATCCCACAGCGCTGGACCTTCAAGACTTCTTAAGAGCTTTGATTTACAGAGTACAGGAATACGTCTTACTATGATTGTAAAGAATCTAAAACATTTCATATTTCTGAAATATTCAGTATTTATTGCTTTGAACAGCCATACATTTGGGTTAAATGGTCAAAGTGTTTTCCTAGATGGTATCAAATTATTTTAATTAAAAATGTTCATGTCAATTTATTATTGTGGTACCAACTATTTCAAATAAACCAGCCCCTAAATTACACATGAAAACAAATTAAACTGTGATTGGTCACTTTATGTGTCAATAAAATAGCTTATGTATACATGGTATAATATATACACGTGATAAAATATGATGAAACAATCCAAAAGACTGTTATTTTCAAGATGAAAGGCCTAGACCGAATCTAAATAAAGTGAAGACACCTGCAGACCCACTATCCATAAAGTAAACATAAATAATATGTATAATTTAAATAATATAATTAATAATAGTTATTTATATATATATATATATATATATTTGAAAACAGAAATTAAATACAATCTAAATAAAAGTATACATTTATTATTTTATGACATTTATTATTTAATATAATTAATAATAAATAGAAGTACGTGTGTGTGTGTGTGATATGAATTTAATTTTAATAACAGAAACTAAATGAATACAATATAAATACATTTATGAATAAATGTGTGTTTGAACAATACATAAATACAATATAAATAAATAGAAGACTTTTTATTCACATTTTCAGAGGTTATTTTGGGGGTGTCACAGTGGCATTACCTGTAGCTTTTCCTGCAGAACTCTATCCATGATGCAAACATAATCCCACTTCAACAATTACATCAGCACAAGAAAAATCCCATTACCTCGTTTTACTCCGACAACACACACAGGAATATGATCTGAAATGTCAGTAGGGCTGTAAAGCCAGATTCTGAAGTTACGCCCCAGATGAACACATTTGAAACTTAGCGTCTCACTTCACTCTCTCTTAGTGCGGGTCGGTTTATAGCACCATTAACTCTGGCAGGGCCCAAATAAGGTGCTTCATGATGAAGGGCGATGCTTTTGTGGTCCTCTGTGCCTCATGTCGAGGTTTACGGCCTCCTCTACAGTTAGGCAACAAAAATCCCTCTATAAAACACAAGACTCTGTTTTTCGAGACGCTCATCACTAAACAGAGCTCTAATAAATGTCAGTGACTTATCCTGCATCCAAACGGCCTTTAAATGAAGCAGCAGGCTCTGGGAAACCAAGAACCCAACCAACCGCCCGTCTGTCGCAGCAAAGCCAGTCTCGTTCTTTGGCAGGAAGGGAGAGAAACGCCCTGTGTGTGGTCCATGGACTGACATATTGTGGTTTAATACATTGCCAAGTGCTAAGTGATTATTTAATCTGAACTCTGTATGAAATCACACACAGATACCAGCTTCAGAAATGCAAAAGAAAAAAAAAATAACAAGAATGCATAGCCCCTAAATAAAATGAATAACACACATTTTGTCAGGGATTCATCACAGTCACTGCAGTCACCAGCCAGGATAATCACCCGATCACAGTCACCTGAGTTCTGATCTTGTCCATCCCGGAGCGCAAGGCGATGGAGGAATACATCAAGGAGGCTCTTAACCAAGGATTCATCCGACCTTCCACGTCTCTAGCTGCGTCCAGTTTCTTCTTCGTGGGCAAGAAGGACGGGGGCTTGTGGCCTTGTATCGACTATCGGACTCTGAACTCCCATACGGTGAAACTGCCCTATCCACTTCCCCTGGTCCCGGCCGCCCTCGAGGAACTCCGTGGGGCCTGCATATTCTCCAAGCTGGACCTGCGAAGTGCATACAACCTCGTTCGAATCCGGGAGGGCGACGAGTGGAAGACGGCATTCATTACACTATCTGGCCACTGAGTACCTTGTAATGCCGTATGGGCTAGCCAATGCCCCGTCTGTCTTCCAGGGATTCATGAACGAGGTGTTCCGGGAGTTCCTCCACCGCTCTGTGATTGTCTACATCGACGATATACTCATTTACTCCCGGAACGTGGCCGACCATCGCCAACACGTCCAGCAGGTCCTACAGAAGTTATGTCAACACCATCTATTCTTAAAGCTGGAGAAATGCGAATTCCATCGCCCCACGGTACATTTCCTGGGTTACATCGTCGCACGTTCAGAAGTTCCTACAGAAGCTCCGTTTACACCATCTCTTCTTAAAGCTGGAGAAATGCGAATTCCATCGCCCCACGGTACATTTCCTGGGTTACATCGTCGGCCAGGAAGGGATTCAGATGGATCAGGGGAAGGTTGATGCAGTCAAGGAGTGGCCTCTTCCCCAGACCGTAAAGGAGCTTCAGAGATTTCTAGGATTTGCTAACTTCTATTGTCGATTCATCAAGGATTTCAGTTCCCACACTGCTCCTATGACTTCCATGCTCCGAGGAAAACCCAAGTCCCTGTCCTGGACCACCAGCGCCCACGAAGCTCTCACAAAGCTCCGAAGAGCCTTCAGCACGGCCCCCATCCTTCATCATCCTGATCCGGACATGCCGTTCGTAGTGGAAGCGGATGCCTCCACCACCGGCGTCGGGGCCATGCTGTCCCAACATTATGGTGAGCCTCCTCGCCTCCAGCCTTGCGCATACTATTCTAAGAAACTGACCCCAGCGGAGCAGAATTACGATATCGGAAACCGGGAGTTGTTAGCTATTTATCAATAAACCATCCTGTCTTTCACTTACCCGTTGTGTCTGGCCTTGCTTTATGACACATTTCATTTTGATAACAGAAATTAATTCAATATAAATAAATTTATTTAAATAATCAAATGTGTAATATTTAAATATAATAATTATAAATTTATATATATATATATATATACACACATTTA